AGGGAAATTCTAAGTTGTGCCGATAATATGATGTGCCGGTACGTGTTGATAAATGGCTAAATGTGTGCAGTGCAAAAAATCCCAAAAAATTTCCCATTTGGTTTAGCATCAACTTAGCCTAACTCGCACACGTCCTAAGTACGCTTTAGTCTAATTTAAATTCCCTTTTTTAATCTCAATAAATGTGGCTAAATATTACGAGGGTCTAAACGACATTTCTTTGAAAAATTTTAAAGTACTTTTTAAGGTATCATGGTACATTAGGACGAATGACATCCTCAGGAAGCTCAAGATTGATCCGATCAAAAAATACATAAATGATGGAGGCCTGAAATTATTTGTGAAAACTGGCAAGCTTACCAACGCTGCTTTATCGAATCTCAGAATGGTTACAGGCTCCTCGGGGAAGTATGCAGATTTGAGGTCAATTAATGCTTAGCGTGATGAAGTGATAAACAATAATCCAGACAAGATGTAGAGAATAGTTATGAAGGAACCACGCAGTGAATAGAGAGTAAAAGTCCTCAAGTGCACTGACTCAACTAACCTCAACATAATAAATAAAATTAATAATCTTTAAATTTGAAATTATGTATATTTAAAATTATATGATATTCAGATTACTAAACGCTTAATATAAAAAGGTTTTTAGTCTAAATCACTTTTGTATTAGTTATTAAGGTTTTTATGATTGAAGAATTTTAAGTGTTAAATTTTGCATAACACTCTCGACTTAATTAAAATTTGAATCGATTCTCTCTCTTCTACTTTATTTTTAAGTTTTCGGACCAAAGAAACAACTGTTGAACTTATATCACTCACATTAAAAAAAAATTTATATAAAAATATATACATGTTGTTGTTGTTGTGATTTGAGGTAGTACTATTGCGCACTTTTACTCTATTGTGGCTGGGGGTCTTATCCCTGCCCCACACTAAACTTTAACTATACTAGAATCATTATCATTTATTTATTTTCTAACTGATGACGCACCGTAGATCAGCATATCTTTCTGTGCGTCCTGAGGTGAACTTAAGGTTTGTTAGAGCGGGATTGGGCAAGGTATCGTTATAATGACTAACACATGCTTAACTGAAGTTGTAATAAAAATCGGATGACACAGTTTATCTAAATTATAAACAGTTTTAATTAATTGCCAAATTTTCGGTTAAAGAAAATTGAATAACAATTGAAAAAATCCAAATTTATTCAACGCAAATGAAGTACAACATTGGCTCCGTAGTCCATCATGTGAGTATGCGTTTCAAATATGACAGGGATCAACGTTTGGCATTAAATATGATATATTTATAAACATTATTTACACAATTTTATATTTAAACCAATAAATTACTACCAAAAAAATTACTTTTAATTTATATTAAATTGTACAGTCTGGATCGAAAACAGCTATATGATCAACCAAAAAATATACCTAATTATTAACCAATGTTTTGTAATGAAAACGATTATAAAAAAAAATTAAAGAAATAAAATAGCAGGGTTAATAGAAGAGAAAGAAAAACCAATAGCAAAAGAGACGTTTCAAGAAAACGAATTTTTGACAACAACTTTCAATGTATTCCCAAATAAATAACTTTTTAGTTCTACATAATAAAAACATAGTGTAGCAATAAATGATAAAATTTCCAAGGAGTAGGTTAGAAATGAAGTCTGAAAGAATTAGTTAACAATTATATTATATCAATACAACTATAGCTCAAGGCAATTTCAATCTTGTACACTTAGTATATAATCTAGGATCTTTTTTTTATACAAGTCATTTATTACACAAAAATAGGGCTGCTATAAACACTTTTATAACAAGTAGAAGCACTTTTTTTTAATATTTCAAAATACAATATGGTTCAAAAATCTGGTTTCTTGTAAATTCTTAATATAATAGTACTAGAATCAAGATATATGATCATTTAATTAACTTTTACTTACCAAGCCCAAGTGTAGCATTACTGTGTAAACTAGATGAACTATGACTATAACCACTTCCCCATGAGTAGCGATGATTTTTACTATTTGGAAGAGTGTGGCAAACATTGGTCTCGACTATGCGACGTTCCGTTGTTTTCTGCAAATAGAAAAGATTAAATGACAAATTAATTATTAAAAAAAATTTTGAATTTGACCGTTTAATTGTCGTTCAATTTACACCATGTAAATGTATCCTTATTAACATATATAACATAAATCAATATAGATACATGCATATTTATATTTAGATAGCTTAAGATTATAATAAAATAATGAAATCACAATGTTGAACTTTGCTCATATATTATAATTAAATATATAACTAAAAAGATCTGGGCTTCGACCTATATTTATAGAGTTTGGTTTTTATGAAATCCTGCATATTTTAGAAAACTTCAGAGAGCGTTCATTTAACATAACAGGCTTAAACTCTATTTACATTGATCAATAGTATAAATTAATTTATATAGATATATATATTTATTAAAAAATCGAATATATATACAATTTTTTTATTTTGTACTTATACCAATGCCAAAACCCAACTGAAATTTATGCGACGTTTTCTAAATATTTCAATACACTATTTTCTGCTCACAAAACACGAAATGGTAATAAATCATTTGGAAAAGATTTGCTATACTCTATATAACCAAAAAATTCAGCTAGACAAAGTTTTTATTTGTGAATCCCATATATATTTAAAGAATATATATGACTTAAATCTTTGGGGCATATATTTAAAGAAATTGATAAGAGTGGAGCACTTACAGCAATACGGTCTGGCTCTTGTTATGCAGCCAGGATATAATCCAAAATAATATTAGGCATAGCTGTACTATATTTTAGATAATTGAAAGTATTGAAAATTAAAGAATACACAATTCAGTTCGAGTTATAGTAATTATAAGCTCTTGCCGCATTACCGAATCATTAAGTCTAAGCTGTTCTCTCACAGCTATCCGGATTACTTGAAGCTCTTGTGAAAAACGGCCTGAACTTAATTAACATAAGCACCGTATACATATGGTAGCATCATAACTACGTCAGATTACATACTTTTTAGTTGAAATTTATATAAGCTTAGATAAAAAAAGTTTTGATACATTCGCCATATAAACTAACACCATTTCTCGACTATTTGTTTTTGTTTGTTCAAAGCACCCGTAAGTATTTGTATTACATACTAGACTACAATATTATTTGTTAAAGTACTTAACCTATAAATGCTAACTGTCGTATGTTGATCTAATTATGGATTTGTCTAATGGCAAAAAAATAATTATAAAAACTAACATCAAGAAAAATAGACACTAATCGATATAATAAATATTAAAAATAAAACGGGTATCACGTTGGATACTTTAATTCATTTTTGCATAATTTCTATAAAAAGTGACAGCATTTCAAATTTATGACTATACCATAAATGATCTTTAATTATATTAGTTTTTTTAATATTTCATAATAAAAATGTAACAATAATTAAATAGTTAAATTAAACAAAAACTGACAGCAAAATGACTAAAATGACGAAAATTACAAGCTATCAACAATACAGATACATGATATTAGGAGTAAAAAACGTAAATGTTGTAATTGCATAGTGCAGATAAATATTTCATATAAATAAAAAATTGTATATAATATGCATGTTTATTATATGTCTTATATTTTAAGAAAAGAAAATTTAAATTTAATATTTGAAAAAAAAAAATTTTTTTTTATAAAAGAAAAATTAATAACAATAAATCAGAGATATATATTTTTTATATACTGCATATATACTACTTTATTAAATATGAATTTTTATTATTCTATACGAATCAGTTTAAAATAACGCACTTTTATTATTTATGAAGATATAAAAATATTGTTTATAAAAAATATTTTGAATTGAATACAATAAAGAGATATTTTAAAGAGTGACGAGGTGGAAGACTACTGCGAAGCGATAACTTCTGTAGTGTAAAACGTTTAACTGCCTAACGTTACATTTTACAGCTGTACTCTACACAATTCAAAAGAAAGGAAGATTAACAGTGCGAATGTGATAGAAAGAGAAAGAGACAGAAAGTAAACCAGAAAGAAAGCGCGAATGAGAAAGCCACAGAAAGAAAGCGAAAAAGTGACAGAAAAAAACGACAGAGAGAAAGTGAGAGAGAACAGGAACACAAGAGAGAAGAGGAACGAGAAAGAGAAGAGGAACGACTGAGAGAAGAAGAGCGCGAGAGAGTAGAGGAACATTAGAGAGAAAAGGAACATCAGAGAGAAGAGGAAGATCGCGATAATGAAAGAGAAATAATTCTTACGACATTCATTTATTTATGGATATTAATTTGACATTATCAGTAGTCAACTCAATCCGTATCACATAAAAAGTGTGTCAAACAATATCAATAGCGAATCATCAGTCCTTACTAATCCAAGCAAATGGAAGGAAAAACACAAAAAGCCGCACCTTTTATTGAGTAACAAATTTAAATTAATTTTAAATCTGTTTTAGTTCTAATATATTGGGTGCTATATTTTTAAATTCCAGTGAGGATAACGTGAATTTCTAATTGGTAGCCGAAGCACCTTCCTTTAATTTTATATGTGAAATTGGAAGCTGAGCTCACTGACATCGCTACGCAAAGTTTGTTTTTACCGAGCAGAGGTCAGTGTTCGGTTTCAAATCAATGATCTTAAAGGGTTTTAATATCATCACTTATATATATGTTTTGGTAAAAATTTCAGAACGACTTTTCAAATGATATATAAATATTTGTGAACAGCAAAAGTCCAAAATATACCTGCACTAATTTAGTTAATCAACCCATATAGAAAAGTTATATTGCAATTTGGTCCACATACATCAAACTTAGAATGTGAAAATTAAGTGCATACACTATTCATAAGAATTAAAATTATTTATGTTAGTTAACAGAAGAAGAGAAGGAAACGATTTAAAAAATTAAGGAACCTCAAGATTAATACAAAATTACATTGACAAAAGAAAGAGAGAAATTGAATATTGAGTAAACTTGAGTTCATGTCGCGATGAATTAAATGAATCTATGAAATTTTAAGATATCTCTTTGCACATCATATAAAATAATTCTCTAATAAATGAGTTCAAAAAAGTATAAATATCGGATATAGTCACGGTTGCCACTTATAGTACTTTAGTACCAAAATTGGTACTTTTTTTTCGTTTTTTCGTTTTTGGTACTCATGTTCAAAAAATGGTACATTTTTGACGACCCAACTTTATTGTGGATATTTCCAATTAATTTTTTTTATAAATGCAACTTTGCACTATTTTATATTTTATTCATTTATAACACTATGAAAAACACAGAACGTAAAAAGAAAAAGGTCCAAAAAAATTTTGGACCCTTTTTTTACAGAAATGGTACCTTTTTAAACCAATTTTGGTACAGGAAAAAATTTTCAAATGGCAAATGTGGATATAGTATCCATTCTACGTATTTACCCGAAATATTTTATTTTGGTTTGACACAATAAGTGACTCTTTAAAGAAATGCATAAACGTATACATTCTTGATAAATACATAACATCTGAATGGACTTAAAAGTTATATTAAAAAGTGTTCAAACTGTAATCATTAGTTTCGTTCTTTATATATAAACTTTAGCTAGAACCAAAAAAATGCTGTTAAACCGCACTGACAAAAAAGCACAATCGCTTTTTTAAGATATGCAAAACATTATTTCTGTCCTTGTTTTTATTTTCATTAAATTTAATATAATTGTTGAAACTTAAATTAATTAAGCTTTGTAGTTAGGGTAATTTAAATTATGTTAGAATATTAGGTTTAGATTCTAGAATAAATGTATAAAAAGAAAACGTAGTTTTATTGGGTATATTTCTATACACCAGAAATTTGAGACCACTGCAAAAAGTCTTGCAATATTCAGCTAATCAGGTAATTCATGTATTTAGAGTCATACGTAGATCATCTGAATATTGCGAGGTAGAACCTGTCGGAACTGAGGTGTGATAGATTCTCCAACCTAATATCTCCAGCACTTACAATAGTTGCTAAAGTCGTTGTTTTTAACTGAACAGATAAACAAATACAGAAACTCTTGTTAATATCTTTGCTTTTTTTTTTAAGTGACTTATGAAATTATTTTTTAATCTAATTTAATTTTAAAATAAATGAAGACTATCTCTTAAGTCACTTTTAGTGGTCATAGCAATACAAAAACGAATTCTAAAAATATTTTACTCTGTAAGCAGCTTTTGATTGAATAAACTTGCTTGGTATTCATTCCATTAAACACAATTTGCAATATTTATTGATATAACCTTTTGAACGTTTTAATAAATAAATCAAAATAAAACGATTGGAAATGATAAATTGCTTGGAAGTTTGCAAACTGAAATAGATGTTAATAAAAATATCTATCGGATATTACGCATGCTGCAAATATTTCAGTAACAAAACACGGCTTCAGTTTTTTTACCATTTTTTTTACATTGAAAAATAAGTGTAAAATATATAATTAAAGCTTAATGGAAAACCAGTTAAAGTTGTCGTTGGAATATATGAGCAATAATCGTAAATTTTATTATTTTTTTAATTTTTTTTTATTATATTTTTTTTTATTAGTCATTTAAAGTTAATGGTTAAAAAATTATAAATTATTGTCGTCTAAGTAGGAAACTAACAGCTTTAAACCAATAGCAAACAAGCGATAACCCTCAACAAAAACTCGCCTCAATATTCAGTTCAATCAATTGGTATTTAATCAATCAGATATAAAAAAGCTATTATACAATAAAAAATATATATCTCATAAATTATACTCACAACTAACTGGAAAAAGTTAAAATAATATTACTACATATAAATAAAATTGAATATAAAGTCTTTATAATATATATGGGCAGAAAATCACAAATATTTTAATTTAGTTGAGAGTCTACTTAAAACCTGATCAATTAACTTTTGAATGGTTATTTTCTTTTGCAAAGTCCATTGAAGAAAAATGTATTTGCATTAAGTCAATTTATCACTTTAATATCTCTTCATTTACAGAAGTAAAAATTCTTGAATGTTAACAAACAGTAAAATTTCCCAAGAAATCCTAATGATTTTTAATGATTTTAATGAATATTTCGCATAACTGAAAGCTTCTTGAATGCTTGGCACTGTTAGTTTGCGGCGACGTAAAAATGCAATACAGCAGAATTTTTACGACCTTCGTTAAAGAAAATACTTGGAGATATAATTGGAAGTTGTACATCTGCGGAATGAGGACTGAACAAGAATTGACCAGGCTCAACATTTTTTGAACAGTTGCACAACTTTGAAGACATGGCATATTTAAATACTAATGACTTTGCGTTAAAAAAAAATATTATTAGCTTAGACTTTGTATTCAAGAAAGAAATGGGAAATTTTTATATAATTGATTTTAAACTAAATTTATGATTAATCTAAATTAACTTTTTTTTCATATTACGGTGTAAAAATCAGATACCTACGGCCACCTTACAATTTAGAATGAAATAAAAAAAAAGTCCCATTATTGGGTCAAGGCTGACTTGAAATCAGATACAAACTACATCACACATCTGAAACCAAAATTTTAAAATTTTTCAATCAGCTGAAAGGCAGAACCTAAAATAAATCTGAAAATACTAACTACATGGTTGAATCAGAGATGGAGAAAGGTACGAGAGCGAGTATCTACTCGAAGGGCTTACAAACAGTCAAGCAGTAATACTGATTTTTAATCACTTGTAGCATTTTTCATGCTAAGATATACATTAGTTGAAAAAACATCAAATTTAATACAAATTGGTATTGTACGATTTAATCTATGAATATTACCATCTTTGTAGACAGTCAGACAAAAATAAGGGTAATAAAATCGAAAACAGTCAAATTGAAGATTAGAATGAAATGTCGTACTTTACCACTGAACTCTGAACAGAATAATATCTTGTCTCTTTTTGTTAAATTTCTGAATAAATTAATATGGTATATAAGGAAACAAGATTGCTAAATATATAAAAATTAAGACGATACCTCTTCACAAACTCTAATGTGAGAACTCTTTAATGAACTAAATAATGCGGTTGTGAGATCCTAATATTACATAGTAACAGAACGAAACCTATTTTGGGAATAGTGTTAATTTTTGTTAACCTATTTTGGTGTTATCACCAGTAAATTATTATCAAATTGGAACAGAAGAAAAGGAAAATTAATGTCACAATCAAACAACTTTATTTACAGTTATAACTTTACTACAGTAGAATTTCGCTAATCCGGGTCCATAAAAATTGCTGCTATTCCGGCTTACTGGTACAATCAGATTGCGTGACCCATATTAAAAATCCATGAAAAATCTTGTGTGGTTAAATATTTATTTTATCAACATCAACTAAATAAAAATTAAGCAATAATCTACTGCTTATTAAATTTATCTATTAATTAAATACCATACAAACGAATCTCATAGGTGAATAAAGCACACAGGCAAATAACCCATAAATGTGATTTACTTCACTAGACCATACAGCATATATATTCTTTAGAATGTCTATGTGATGCGGCCTTATATGCCGAATCACATAGACATATAATTAGACATATAGACATATAATTAATATTTTCTTATTATTTTTTATTCTTAATTATTTAATTTATGATTAGCATATTCTAATTTTATCCAGATTAAGAGGGAATGTGAACCAAGCCGTGATTCAATTTACTTATTCAATATGGATGATCTCAAAATATTCTATACCAGTTAAATTTCAAATGCTTACGTGTATCAAATTTTTATAGATTTAACCCGATATACAGTCTTCAGTCTTTTTTAGTAAATGAAATACGCCTAGCGCTGCTGATGGTATAGGCAAGATGATGTCAAATAGCAGATTTTAACAACCTGTGAGATATATCTCTTTGAAATATATTCTAATCCGCCTCACTAAAATAGACCAAAGGAAAGCAAGAAGATTTCTTCATCAGCAGAAGCACGAAGTTTTTAAAAAACGGATCGATGAAGAAGCTGCTGATTTCAGGTTTTGATAAAGGGTACTTCTGTAAACTATAAAAGTTTGAAAGTTCTCGGCAATGTAAATTACTTAAAAAGTGTTACACATAGAAAAATAAAAAATATTAAATTAGCTTTGATAATTTCCACAAAAAAAAAAGTGATTATGAAAGTGATTATATCGAAATGAAATGAAATGTTGCGACAAGAAATAAAATATCTTAAGGAAATAAATAGTGATCACAAAAATAGTGGCCATTGGAAAGTGGATCCATGAAAACAATGTCCAGTATTAAGGTGTCATAATATTCCTATTATCACTGTCATTATATACCATTATACCATTATCGTTGGTAAATCCTAGTCAATGTGAATAACTAAAGAAAAGTTTTAAATAAATAAATTGGGCAAATGAAGACTATTAAGATGAAGTCTTTAACTAATGCAGTCACAAAAGATACTTTTTTCAAATGAAAGAATTTTTTTAACCTGAAGAGAAATTAGTGGGGACCAAAATTAAAAGATAAAGGTTAGAAAGGTGTGGATTATTAGTTTATAGCAAAGTAATTCAACTTTTCAATTGAATTTAATGTATCCACGAAGAATTTTTTCAAATCAATGTCTTTCGTCTAAGAAGACTTGCTTATAGACCAAACTGGGTAGGTACAGATAAGAAACTATTGAATTCGCCATGCAAGTAGAAAACTATCTCCATCATTATCATTATGTCCTCTACCATTTCGGAACGCATTTCAATATGATTTCAAATTATTCACGCTTGTTAAACAGCTGAGTGTTAATAGCGCTAATACTAAAAAGTTATAAAACTTTGTGTGACTTATAAAAGCGAAGATGAAAATTATAGAGTTGGGGTTGACCCATGTGCACATGCATTTCAATTTTTTATAAAGAGTAATTATATGTAAAATAAATCACTAAATTATTTTAAATTAGTTTAATAGGAAAATTAATAGGTAAATTAATAGGTAAATAATTTATTTTAATAGGTAATTCAAAACTTTCAAGAGGCACTCAAATTTTTGTTTTTGATGTGTCTAAAACAGGGACCGTAACAGTTATCATAAAAAAATAAAAATCATCTTATAACTGCTATCATTTACATTTTAAAATAAAACTCAAAAAATAATAATTAAATTTGAGTTTTATTATATTCATCAAAAATAATAATTATTATATGCCTTTTATTTTTTTCGCGCAGAAATAACTCTTAAAATTTGCTTCTTATTTTAAAACGCACAAATAACTGGTATACTTGCGTTATATAATATAAAAAGCAAGAGTATCGCGTAAATTCTGCGCGATATTTTTAAAATGAAAATATAAAATGCAATTTTCATACAACGTAGTTTTTTTTTGTAATTCCATAGAAAATGTTTTAAAGGGTTGGTGCAGGTAAAGATTTAGTTTAGTTTAGATACTCTTGATTTTTATATTATGAAACGTAAGTATACCAGTTATTTTTGAGTTTTAAAATAAAAAGTAAATTTTAAGAGTTATATCTGCGCGAAAAAATAAAAGGCATATAATAATAATTATTTTTGATGAATATAATAAAAATCAAATTTAATTATTTTTTTTTAAGTTTTATTTTAAAACGCTCATATATAAAAAGCATGCATATTGTTAGGGATAAAAGTTGTAAGAATGATAACTATTTACTTAAATAAGAGTTCAGGCAACTTTTTGTTGCCGCTTTTTTTCATAAAAAATTTTAAAATAACTGTTATTTTCGGTCCCTGGTCTAAAACGAGTTTTAGTAATACGTACTATACATATGTTTTTTTTACCCTTTCATTTATTATTATTTATAATAAATAATACATTTAAAAATTGGATAATAAAACAATTTGGATTTCGATAAAAGAGTAGAATAACTGCAGTTTATATTTTTTAGTCTAAAACTTTCCAAATTCCTGAAAACAATCCTTACTTGATATTATTAAATATTTCTATTCCTAATTATGAGTTTTTTTTTGTTAGGAATCATATCAAATATCGAACATAAACTCTACGCGCGAGAATGTTTATTTTATATATTATTAATATCTTTCTTATATAAAAAATTTATAAAAAAATGGTTAAAAAAAACATCGATTTAATTGAAACTTTTAACTAGAATTAACTGTATTTGATAATGATCTGTTGCGTTTGAAACTATTGATTCATTATGAAATTTATTTTGAATATATTATGTTAAGTATTAGCATTTTAAGTATATAAAAGCTCCGTGCACTTTATATGAATTGTATATGTTATGTATAATCACGTATAATCCTTCTCAGTCATGTTTAAAGATACAATATCGTGCATGAGCATTTTACAGCAATTTCAATTGCTTACTAACAATTGAAAATGAAACCAAGAATTAGAATAGTGAAATTAAATATGAAACAAAAACAAACACTTAACTGCAATCCTCTTAAAATTAGTTTTTTTTCTCTATCTTCTGGAAGATGCAAATACTAACATATCGTATATACACTTAATATACCACCTTATACTTTGGAAAACCATATATAGTTAAGACTTACCTTAAGACTATTATAAGGGCGCTCAACCCTTAGTTTGGCCTCGATAACATCACGAATTTCTTGCTTCTCATCATAGGGCAGCGATGACATCGACCATGATGTCTTTATGCTAGTGGGCATAGTATCGGCACCGGTAGTAGTCATGGCGGCACCACCGACTACCTCAGTATCAAGTGTTCCATTGGTGAATTGTTTTGCGTGTGCATTTTTATTGCGTTTCTTTTTCTTCAGGGAACTACTTGCGCTGGTTGGCATAACGAAACATTTTCCTGTCGCAACAGAGGGGCTTTGGGATGCATCATTCGATGTTAATACTGTTGCATTTGTTTTTGTTGTTATTGTGGTGTTATGTGTTGGAGTTGTTTCAGCTACTGTTTCAGTTACGTTTTCAGCTGTTGTGTTTGTTTTTGTCGTTATTGGATTTAAATTTGTTGGCGTTACATTCATTAAATCATTCGCCATGGCCACTGTTTCAGTCTCTTGGTTGCTGGACGTCGTTGCTATTTCTGCTGCATCAGACGCCGTTACTATTTCGTTTATTTCGTTGTTTTGAGCATTTTGAATTTCGTTGGTAGTTGGTTTATCTTCGGTAATAGTTTTTGCCAACATTTTAGTTTGGATTGTGGCAAATTTGGTTCCGTTTAATTTTTTCTTTATTTTTAATTAAAATAATTAAAATTTTATGTTTAAAATTTGCATGTCTGCTGCCATTTTCGTTTGCAAAATTTTTTTGCAATTGTTTTGTGTATTTATTTTTTTTTTTTGTTTTGGTATCCAAAGTGTGTGTACCACTTATTGACTTCCGCTTTTCAGTACTTTTCGCAAAGTTTTTAAAGTTAAATCTGCAAAAAAAAAATAAAAAAATATTTAAAATCGTTTCAGTCTACTGATCTCTTTAATCGTACTAAAGGTTATTAAACCAAATTCATGAGAAATAATTAAACTTAAGATTATTCTTTAAATATTTTAAAAAATTACAGATATGTCAAGAACTTGTCTTGAAAATATTTTTTTAGATGCAGAAAAAGAAAAAGAATGTTATTCAAATTGAATATAATTTTTTTAATATATTTATTGCATTTAGAGATAACAGCAAATCCAATAAATAAAGCACTTCTTTTTTTTTTTGTTATTGAAGACATAAGATTTACATTATATGTTACTTTACATTTACATTATACTGTACATTAAGCAAAACAAAATATCTTTCCGGCAGCTAAAATGCATCAAACACTTTCAACTGCTTAAAACCATATCTATTCCTTTCCATATAGGAAAGGTCTGTTATTTCTACCACTCCTCCGCTCCTCTATGTAATTGTGATTACAGTAACTCCCTTCATAGAGTACACAATTTTTCTTTATATCTTAGATATATTTACTTAATAAATGTTAAGCCTTTTGATCATCTACTTCATTTCTTTCCCTGTATTCTGGAATGAGATTCCCTGCCTCGGAACCATTTTTTTTTATGGGTTCAAGTCTCACAAAAAAAAAACCATCTCTAATGAAAAATTGTCTAAAAATAATAATGGCTGAAATGACATTTCAATAAGGAAGGAATGAAAAATTATGAGATTATATTTTAATCCTAATTGGATTTAATTATTAATAATAAAAAAAATCGCAAGCATTATAATAAAGATGGGAAATCTTAAGGGTATATTCTACGAAACGGGTTACTACATCCATGATTAAACTGCGGAATGCAAGAAGAAGAATTATTCACTTAATAAAAACAGAGAGCCAGGAATTGAGGAGGCCCAAAAGTGCTAGAAGAAGCTCACCCTGAAATTTTTCCGTATATAAAATATCAGAAAAAAGATTGTGGGTAACTTGTGTGCTAGAAAAAGAATAAAAAAAAGTTTAGGGATATAGCAGTTATATTACTCTTACGTTAGAACTAATAATCGCAAAAGATACATAACATATGTCTCTCAAACATGCATGTCATCAAAGGCAAGTAGAAAACGAATAATGTGCTTATAATAAAAGGGTTTAATCTTATTTACACGACATAATTTTTACGATTTTGAGTTTAACATACTCGTAGCTAAAAATATCATTATACTGAACCTGACTTACGGGAGGGATAAAATTGCGCTTTTAAAGGAACATAAGTGCAAGGTATTTAAATTTGTAAACAAATAACTTAACGAGAGCGGCACTTAAATATAATTTCCATAATTAGGCACTTTTTATTATTTAATGCATTCATGCTCTGCCAACTATTAACAGTAATTACTAAAATTTTGCAGGAACTTAATTTAATTTTTTTAATGCTATTGTATATAAATAGAGCATTAGGTGAGGTTCAGCAAAGATTCTGAAACGCGATTTGGATATCACGTAATCCTCATCATAACACAGTTGTTCGATGATTTTACTGCTGAATGTAAGGTACAATGTCAGTAGTAAACGACCCAATACAGAGTCTTCCAAAACATCTAAACACTGAAAACTAAATACTTTATACCGTATTGGGTGGGTGGTATTGGGTATTACATTAGTTTATAATCTAGTTGTTATCGCATATTGTCATCAAAGCTGCTAGTCACTGATGTTTGTTTACTGGTACTGTTACCGTTGTTGTCAAAGTGGCCACACATACAGGTTCAGGGATGCCACAGTCAATGGGATAATCTGTTATATGATATATATAATTGATGACAGAAGCATAGAATATTACCCATTTGGTTATTTGCATAACCAAAATCAATTCAAACATTTTAGCAATCGATTTCGATTTAATTAAACAACACAAACTCATTGAAAAATTCGGAATTGTTGAAATTTCAAAAAAGGACATTAAATTTAAACAAATATTTATTAATTAATTTGCTATACTATTTAGTATTTACTAAATTTTTGGATTTGCACTATATGATAGTATACACATAGTCAACTAATTTTGTTTATTTGAGAACACAATGTCCATGCGTTCCAAAATTTAAAAACTAATAGACCGATAGACCTCACTCCTTGGATTCGTTAAACTGATCAAGTCTACAATATCATCTTTACAAACTTAAGGTTCTCCTATCTATAGTAATGTCAATGCTTTAACAAGGTAACTTAAAATCAAATAATCGAAAACTTAAGTGTTATAGAAAGAAAAACAATAAAATCCTAGACATAGCACAATAGTCGATTATTATATTCAAAAATAAATTTGATTCGTGCAACTACCGGAAAATATACTTAACATTAAACATAGTAATCCAAATTATTTTTCCAAGATAGCTATTTCGAACATGGTAAAACATATTCATTTCAACTACCTACAAATTTTATGAACCATTAAATTTGGTAATAAAAATTTATTTATTCTGTTTGCGTTAAGCTATAGTAATATTTTTTTATTTATTTATTAATTAACATAAAAACATAAAGTATTTTTCGTTATATTTCTCGTTATTTATTAAAATTATTCATTATTTAATTAAGCAATTTTAACAATTCACAATAATTATAAATAAGTAATACTGAACCCAAATTATAAGGTATGCGACAAAAAGATAAGATAATTTAATTATTAAAATAAATCAAATTTTAATACAAACGGAACTCCCACTTGACCAAACAATGCAAAAATTGCAACTGACCTTATCATTTTGTCGCAGCAATATTTAGCTTTTTTTTCTTTTTTGATATATTTAAAACTAACGGGACTTTTTTTACTCATTATATTAGAATTTATTTGTTGCATTTTCTCTATCGAACAATAAAATCCACAAGATCCAAAGATTAATTACTTAAATTGAGTTCCACAAAGAAAAAACAAACTGACCTTATCTTTTTGTCGCATACCTTATATCTATATAATAAATTAATACTAAATGGTATGAATTTATATATATTTTTATACATATATTGGATTAGTTAAAACAGATGAATTAATTTAATACCGTCCACTAAAATTATTTCAATTCAAAACAATCTCTCAATCAAATTTCAAGCTATAGTCGAACTGATCGAAAGCGTTTTAAATCTCTAGCAAATAATATAATATTATTAAAGTTTCTCAGTTAGAATTATAAAATGCATATAATAGAATATAATTGCCGGATTGTATTTGGATTTGTTTTAAAATAGATACGGGAAGGAAATATTTCTTTAAGTGCTACCTTTAAGTATTAAAGTTAATATTAATACCTAATATACCTAATATACTAAATATAATCCTAAAAATATGAAAAGCAAGCAAATTAGTAGATTTCGAATAAATGAATATAGTCTCTCTCTCTCTCTTGTGTTTGTTCTACATATTACATCCTGTACAAAAAACTATTGTGATCGTATATTTTCATATAAATTTGTGATTAACATACAAACGAATAAATTACAATCGTGGACCAAAAGTTAGAACTGCTCAAGAAACCTGGAATTATTTACTCATGATTAAAACCAAACACATTAAATTGATTATTAAAGTAGCTTGCAGATATAAATATACATTAGTATATAAAGATTTTGTACAAACCAATTATTTTCATTTAATTGTACAATTTTGTTATAAAATAAATACTTTGTCATATACTATCACCAAAAATTCAGAGGGTTTAGATGTGTAATAAAAGCTTGACATCGTTTGGGTTAAGTTCATTTTAAATAACTCACATCGATAAGAAATTGTTATATCTTTTGCAGATATATCCGACTACTTTTTACAATTTACCAACTGTGTTTCAAAACTCATTTTGTTCGAAGCGAGGGTGGTATCTGTCTATTAATTTTAGTAAAACTGAAAATACTTCCACATCACTACACACCCGTACAATGGCTTCAGAGATATCAGTCAAAAGTCCACTGTTGACTTTTAACTAACTGTATCTAAATTTTCTCACAATCTTTCTTAATCTCCATATTCCATAAAATTGCAAAATTGGAACATCAATTATTGGCACTTTATGAAACATATAGCTGTAAAACATGTGGTTTGTAAAAGATAGTTTTAGCAAAAGGCCACCATTTTTAAATATTAAGTAATGCTTGAGGCTTTTCAAATTATGCAAATAATATGTAAATATAAATACATATTAGATGACAGCAACTATTGAATTAGATGCCAATAGAGACAGGTTATAAGTTTTCATCTAAAAAAAACTTTTATTATTTAGATTTTAATATGAAAAAAACACACAAATAAAAAGGATCTCTCTAATCTGAAGCAGTTTCTGTTTCACCGGCTTCTGTTTTAGCGTAGAGCAAAATGAATGAGAATTTCTCACCGAATAGATAGAGGAAAAGTAAACTGTTCCTTTTTTCTGTATAAACGTTGCTCTTAATGGGCAGAGAGCCAAGTATCTTAACCAATTTGCTCTTCAATAAATTTGGTTAGTAAGCGAAAGTTAAAAATAATAACCCTCTTAGGTTCCTAAAGGGCCCATTAGACAGCAACGTTCGTTGTCAACGCGCGCTTGCCATTACACAAACAATTTTTTAACAATTTTTAAAACACGCCCCAGATAAAACAACAAATATACTAAAAAATCGCTCTCACATGAGAATTTTTTTCTCCTACTTTTCTCCTACTTTGTGAAATGTGAAATTTGTTTGTGTAATAGTAACATTTGAAATTTTAAGAAATGTGTTGACGAAAATCAAAAAATTTTGATATTTCTTCAAACATGCTCGGTTTTTGCATATACAGTCGGATTTGGTCGGCATGCAAAATTTATTTATTTTGAGAAATGGAAGC